CCCCACAGATGCAGCTTTCACAGAAGAGTCGTGAACCTGAGATTGAAGATGTCGGTATTGAAGTCGAAAAAACGACTCGATGTGGACGTATTAGTAAGATTCCAAGTCTCTATTTAGAATAGAGCTTGTTCTATAGTTAGTTTCATGTACTTCCCATATTAGCTCTGTTTAGTATTACAAACTTAATTTTTTTAGTGTTAAGAAACATTTTTGTCATCAATGTTTCTTAGGTGGGAGAATGTCAGAGATGCGAGTATATGAGACGGATGAATAGAGAGAGAAAAGAGAGCGAATCGAATACAACAAAACCTAAAAATAAAAACCAGTAAGATTTTGACATTGTCAGAAAAAAGTTTTTATGTACACGACATGTTCTTTTGGTAGATGATAAATAGCGCTAATTTTTGAAGAACCTGGTGCAATTATTTTATTTGTTATAATGTGGCCCATATATTTAATCTCTGACTGTCCAAAACGACATTTATCTAAATTAAATTTGATATTATTTAGCTTTGCTCTCTCTAAAACTCGTCTTAGTCGTTGGTCGTGTTCTGTCTTGTTCCGTCCTCACACAATAATGTCATCGATAAACGTCAGTACCGTCGATGTTACAAAAAATGTTTTAAAATCTGTCCTGAAATATTTCGGGAGCACTTTTGATATCAGACGGAAGGCGAAGAACTGCTTCCTCCTTTTTATTTTTTTCGGTGGCTACCAAATAATTTTCGAACCTGCACCGCCAAATCTTCCAGTTCTCAGCCACATTTCCCGGCGTTTGCATTGTTGGTACACCCCTGTTGTCGCAAATTCTTGTAAATTCTTGTAGGTTCTTATCTATGTTGTTATTAACACATAAACAAACTCACGACTGCGCCATGTTATGTTTTGTTGTGTGGATCGTAGTTATTATATTATTAATTAAAACACTTTAATATAGCTTTGTCATCATGGTCTATATTCTTAACTTCAGATCCACTGTCTGTCATCCGTCCTCGGCCCGTTGACCTCGACACCATCCATCGACATCTATACAGGGTCCGTCTTTCGGAGCTTACACTAGAAGTATTGGCCAACAGAAACTACCAGAGTTCTAAAACTGTCAATACTATGATGTTGGGGCTAACTCATCTAAAATATTCTCAAGGCGGTATCACTTCCGGTTATACCGGAAGTAGGTACTTACTCGCTTCTTTTAAATGGAATACCCTGTATATTATTACATTTTTGGGTTCTCTGTCGGATTTTT